CCACATATGGTTATTTACCATATAGGAATATGAATAGCCCCTCAAATCTTTTTTATCCAAATTTATAATCTAGTCTCCTTGCTGATCTCAAAATACGTTGTTAGTGTGTCTGCATTAAACTGAGTAGGCTGAGTTCATACACTTTAAAAATCTTTAGTAAAATAGCATTGTCCCTTTATTATCTCTGCTATTGTCATAGAGAACTTCTTAGCAGCTCTGATCACTGCATTGACTACGTTGTCACTTACTCTGATTTGCAAACTCAGATGGACCTGAAACTATGGTTTGAGACTGAGAGTGTGTATGCAACACTTGCACCATGTTCAGCTGACAGATTCCCACATTATCAGCCTTCTTCTGATTAACCATAAAGGTCATGGTGGAGATATTTCTCCAGCCTTTCATCCATTTGATTTCTCTTTTCCTAATTATGATCATTTGCATAGGCACAGCATGTTCCTGTGCAATATTTATTTTGTCAGTTCTTTAACTATGTTTATCTTTACTTTTTAAAACTATCTTTGAGGCAAAGTTTACATAAATAGCATGTACTTAAATTGTACAATTGATAAGTGTAGACATATCTATGTACCCATGAAGCCCTCAACACCATTGAGTCAGTGAATGTGTCTCTCACCCCTAGAAGTTTCCTTGTGTCCATTTTCTTTCTTCCCTCCTGCGCCCTACCCACCCAGCCTTCATGCCAGGCAAGTACTGCTCTCCTGTCACTATAAATTAGTTTACATTTTCTATGTTTTTATATAAATAGATTCATACAACATGAATCCTTTGATTTTGCTTTTTTTTTTAATTTGACTCTTTCACTCAGCATAATTATTTGGGGATTCATCCGTGTTTTTGTGTGTATCAGTAGTTGATTCCTTTTTATTGACAAACAGTATTCCATTGCATGGGTATACCACAGTTTGATTATCAATTAACTGGCTGATGAACAGTTTTGTTGTTTACAGTTTGGGGCTATAATAAATAAAGATGCTATGGATATTTACATCTAAGTCCCTTGGGTAAATACCTAAGAATTGAAGTATTAGGTCATATGGTAGGTATATATTGAACTATTAAAGAAATGGCCAAACTATTTTCAAAAGTGGTTGTACCAGTTTATTTTCCCACCAACGTTATATGAAAGTTGCAATTACTGCACATCTTCACCAACATTTGGTATGGTCAGTCTTTATAATTTTAGCCATTCTTATAGTTGTGTAATGGTATCTCATCATGATTTTAGTTTGCATTTCCCTAATGACTGCTAATATTGAGCATCTTTTCAAGTGCTTATTTGCCATGCTTATGACTACTTTGGTGATGTCTTCAAATCTTTTCATTCATTTTTTATTGAGTTGTTTGCTTTCTTATTACTTAGTTTTTGAGAGTTTGTTATGTCTTGATAAAGTATTTGATTGGAATTAGGATTTACAAAGATTTCTCCTAGTGAGGCTTGTCTTCATTCCATTAACAGTGTAATACAAAGAACAGATGTTCTTAATTTCTGTGAAGTCTAATTTGTCGTTTAAAAATTTTTTTCTATATAACAGAAATCTTTGTTCTATGTACATAAATCTCTGTACAACACAAGGTCATAAAGATTTTCTCCTGTATTTTCTTCTAAAAGTTTTATAGTTTTATAGTCTACATCTGTGATCCATTTACCCTGAGTTTTTGTATAAGGTGTGGATATGGATACAACGACTGGTTTGGAGGGTTGGGGGTTTTTTTGGTTTGTTTTGTGTGTGTGTGTGTTTGTGTGTGTTTTTGTTGTTTGCATATAGGTATCCAATTTTTCCAGCTCCATTTGTTGAAAAAAAAATTTCTTTCATCAGATTTGGAAATTTTTTTGACTGTTACTTCTTCATATATTTTTTTCTGCCCCTCTATTTCTCCTGTCCTTTGGTGACATCAGTTACACATATATTCAGCAACTGGAAATTGTCCCATAGTTCACTGATAACGTCTTTTCACATATTTCAATCTTGTTTTCCCCCATTATTTCATGTTGGACAGTTTCTGTTGTTGTGTCTTCAGATTTACTATGTCTGATCTGCTGTTAATCATGTCCAGTTTACTTTTCATCTCAGATATTTTTGTCTTCATCTCTAGAAATTTGAATTGAGTCTTTTTTTACATCTGCCATGTTTCTACCTAACATGCCCAGTCCTTCCTCTAGCTTCTTGAACATATGAGTACAATTTATAAAGTTAAAAATAATTATTTAAATGTCCTTGCCTACTAATTCAATGATCTTTGTCATTTCTGGGTCACTCTTAATTGGTTAATATTTCTCCATATTTTAGGTGATATTTTCTTGCTGATTTGCCTGCCTGATCATTTTTGATTGGCTGCCAGACATGAAGGCTGCCAGACCTTGTGAAGCGCTGGATATTTTTGTTTTCTTAGAAATATTCTCAAGCTTTGTTTTAGAATAGTTAAGTTACATGGAAACAATTGGATCCTTTCAGATTTTGCTTTTTAAGCTTTGTTAGGTACAACCAGTATAGGATTTAAGTCTAGGGCAAAACCCTTCCAAATACTGAATGCTTAATGAATTATCAGGTTTTCCCACTCACACTGGTGAATATAGAAACTGTTCCTGACACTGCATGATCTCCTGGTATTGTTTCCCATAATGCTGGTTCTTTACCTGATCATACACATGCACTGACAAATACTCAGCTGAAGGCTGGAGGGAGTCCTCTGCAGTTCTCAAGCCCTTTCTCTGTGCAGCCCTTTCCTCACTGATTACTCTTTTCTGTGCACTGTAGCCACCTTGATCTCCCAGCTCATCTGCTCAACTTGGGGATCACCAGGCTCTACTGAGTCTCCCTTCCTGAGTTGCATTCTGGAGACTTTTTCTGTGCAGTTAACAAGACCAGTTGTATAGTTCATCTTGTTTGTTTCCATTTCTTAGGAATCACTGTCTTTGATGTCTTGAAAGACATTTCAAATATTTTGTCAGATATTTTAGTTGTTTCTGGTTGGAGGGTGGGTTCTTGTTACTTCGTATTAGTCAGAAGTGGGAGTCATTTTATCTTTATTTTCATTAACATAAAAATTTGATTTTTGAGTAAGTGAATCATTCGCATGATTCAGAAGTTAAGAAGTAAGAATATGCATTTGGCTGAAATCTCCCTTCTGATCCACTACCAGTCTAATCCCCACTCCGGACTGTTAAACAATTAGGTTGCTTCCAATCTTTAGTGATTAGGAAATACTTAGTAGTTAATAGTCTTCCACATAAGTCATTTTGCATATGCCTGAGTAAGACTGCTGTTGAATACATTCCCAGAGGTGGATTACTAGGTCAGAGGTTTTTGCATTTGTAATTTTGATAGCTACTGACAAATTGTCCTCCTGTTACTGAACAAAAAGTTCGTGTGCCCAACACACAGGCCAAACAAACTAAAACATTGGAGTCTGGAGCAGAGACAGGTTCATTGCTGGGCAAGCAAGGAGATTGGGTGGCTCGTACTTGGAAAAGCCCAAACTCCCCAATGGTTTTGAGAGAAATGTTTTTATAGGCAAAATGTTGGGTGAGGGCAGTAGGATGTATGACTTTCTTTGGATTGATTGGTGGTGAGGTAACAGGGCAGTGTTCCAAGAATCTTGTGCTTAGCCTGAAGTTGCCATCCTTCACCACGTCGGGCCCGTAGTTCCTGCAGAAGAAGTCAAAAATACTGTTACGTATATTCCTTGAGGAGGAACTAGGACCCTGCCCCAAGGCTGCAGTTTTTTCGTTTTGTTTTGTTTTGACTGTTCCTCCTTTGTTAATTCATTCCATCCCTTTCCTGATTAGCAGCAGTTTGAATCTGCCCTTTGGAACTCAGAGAAGGTCAAGGAAGCTGAATGAAGCCTAGTTCCTTTAAACAAGAAATGGAGGACACAGAAAGGATTTGTACCAGGAAGGACCCCACAGGGTCCTTCTCCGTTTCACTCCCAAGGAATTAAATCAGTTTTTCCACCAACTTGTTAGGACTGTGAGTTAACAGGCACTTACCTATCTACAGAATGATATCAGATACTTAGATTTCTATTAATGTGATAGAAAAAAATGTTATTATAACAGTTTTAACTTGTATTTCTACTCTGAGTGAGGTTAACATCTCCTCCTCTGTTTAAAAAACATTTGTTCTTCCTTTCTTCTCTTCCATCTACTTTAGATTGTTGGTCATTCAGTTCTTTTAGTGATAAAAATATAAGATTGAAATATATTATCAGATTGTATTTAGTAACTTCTTAATAACAAGTGAACAGTTAACATCCATAGCGTATTAATGAAACACTTTAAACTATATGTAATAAAACATAATTATACTAAATCTAGTCAAATCTCAGTGATTTACAAAATGTTTAGATCAAAGTTTGGGTTAATTGATTTTTCAGACAAATTTTCAAAGTTTAGAATAAAACTAGTTTAATCTGTGTTTTTGAGCATAAGAGTAACGTTCCAAAGCTAATTCGGTTAGTGAAAAAATAGAATTGTTTCTTCTAGAAATCTTTTACATTTAAGTGATATGATTTGTTTCACAAATAATGACATTTCCTGAACAATTTGATGGGAGTAGCGGAATGAATACTTGAAATTTGGACTCACTCAGAAAATCTGAGCCTTTTGTTACAAATGTATTCTGTCCCACAGATACAGATAAGAGTAATAAACACGTTCATGGTTAGGCAACAGAATGTTCTTATTAATCATTCAGTACAGCTTTCTTGAGAACTAAGGAGTATTGAAGTATTTTTACAACTTTGCATATCCATCCTTTTTCTCTGCTTCATCTCAAACAGCTCTAACTTTTACTATTATCATTTATAATTTTCAAGTATTATACCCTATGTATTATACCCTTCCCTAATTAAGTTAGGGAAGTAGTTGCTTTACAAAATGAGTAAAGTAATAGTGGGCCAGTAGTTTGTTTATATTTTGTTAATTTATTATCAGTTAAAGTCTGGCTTTATTTATGCAATGAAAAATATATTTTTAGAGTTGCATCAGTATGGAGAGGCATCCAGCACACGTCCGTCAGGTATGATGTCATTCCAGGACATTCTCTGGTACTCCATTTTTATGTCTTATCAGCCAACTAAATTTACCTTGATTAAACTTAATCATTTTGGGTTTCTTTCCATTGCCAAAACATTGAGCTGCATGCCATTGCCAAGTTAGCCAGTTGTCATATTTAAGCACTCTTAATATTGTTTGTATGCTTGCTTTTTAGATATTTCTAAAATTGTATATCAGGAAAAAAAATTATTGCCTTACTGATTTTTTTAAAGCATTAATATTTAGTCTTTCAAAAGTTATTGAAAATGTTCTGAATGCTTTCTATCAAAATCATCTAATTGTAAATAACTAAAATTTTGTCACTTGTTCCCAAATTTAGTTATATTATTTTAATATGCATCCATCACATTACATTTTACCACACTAATAATGTAATGTATCTACTTGTGTTATCTGAATATCTTGTTTGGTTATATTTATAGAAGTATGATAAACAAATAGAAGAATAACGTTGTTATTTTGACTAATTATGCGCTTTCCTGTTTGTTAGTTTACCTGTTGATTAATACTAAGTCAGTTCTTTTAGAAGATAAAATTTGAATTTCTATAAATATGCCTGAAAAAAATGTGTTTCAGGAAAGTAATTGGTCTGAACTTGCCATCAAATACTGAAAATGCTTAACTCAGAATTCAAATGAAAAACAAAATATTCTGGATACTGGAGATCATAACAGTGATAACTGACATACTTTTATTAATAAAACAGACTTAAAAGAAATTTGTATCGTTAAGTGAATTTAAATTAGAAAATAGTTTCAAAGCTTTTTCAGTACTTGTCTTATGATTAATTTAATGCTGATCATTTAAATCAAAGCAAGATTATTCCAGAGAAGTATTTTCCACACTAATTTTGACCAGTGTGAATCTGTGTGATTAAAAAATATATGTTATTACATGGGATGAAAGCTGGGGGGTTGTTTCTGTTTTTGTTTTTTAAAGGTTATTAAATATATTTCAGGACTGATTTCAACATGAACTTTTAATTTTGGTTTCCAGATCCTTTCAAAAAGTCAGTCCTATTATTTCTGAAATATATGCCTTAAATTAACTGCATATATAGATTCAGGACATTAAGTGAAAAGTAGCATTTATAAATAAAATTATGCAGTGTTGATTAGAAAATCATGTGAAAAGATTGGGAGAAAGTGTTAAGATTGGTGGGATGAAACAATTGTCAAACTGTTAATTTAAGATTAGAAGTTAAAACAAACAGAATTTAATGTAGTACTAATATTTATTATTTTCTTTTCTGATACCAAATTATTAATGTTCTAGTAATTTTATTTGAGAAAGACAAGTTTCTTAGCTGAAGTGCTAAGTACAGTGTCAATTACAATTAAATCACAGTGGATTGAAAAGGATTTCAAAAATCCAGTGACAGATGATACATCTATAGTATTTTTAATTGTGCTGTGTGTTTTAGGTATTTGTGAAATGTCATTTTGATTATAATCCATACAATGATAACCTGATACCCTGCAAAGAAGCAGGATTGACATTTTCAAAAGGAGAAATTCTTCAGATTGTAAACAGAGAAGATCCAAACTGGTGGCAGGTTAGTATGCTTCTCAGAATTTCTTCAACTGCTTTTTTATTTTTCAGTCTTAGATCTGGCCAATATCTGAATATTCAGGAATAAGGTATTAGTGTTTGTTCTAATGATTTTTCCTGCATTAACAGCTTCTGCTTCATGGCTGCTAATTTTAGGGACAGAAGACCAAATTGAGAGGGAATTTATGAGTAGCTATTTACAAGTTCAGAACTATCTAGCTTGTGGTGGTGCTATTCCATTGGTTTAGAGACTACACCAATTGGTTATTCCACATATAATTGTGGTAAAATATAGTATTGGGCAAGAACAACTCACTGGGGGTCATCCCTTGGCAGTGTTTGTTTTTGTTCATTTTTAACTAGGAGTCTTTTACTGTGGGTAGTCTTTCTCTTGTCTCCTCTCACTCTGTATACATTCATGACAAATAAAACATCATTTCTTAAGCTCTTCAAATCTATTTGCCCACCTCTTCTCAGTTATTGAGAAATGAAGGTTTGCTTTATCAGCAGTGTTGTTTGGTCTTGAATTGAAATCTGTTGTATATGCTAAGGAATGTATGTTATCACTGTCGCCTTTCCATTTTTCAGAAGATCTGTGTATCTTCTTTTTCCTTGCCCCTAATATGGCTTTCAGAAATCTCTAGCAGCAGTAATAAGTCTGTTTCTGTCATTGTTTACATCGGCTAACAACAGTATTCAGAACTGGAGAAACAAAATCTAAAATCCCTTGAACTGTCAAAGCAGAAGAGTCTCATTAAAGAACAAGATGTGACAGAAAAAAGACTCAGGACCTACCACTAAACTATGAATTAAACTGAGGTGTTAGTAATTCACGTTAGCTCTAATGAGTTACATTGATGTCAAAGGGGGAGTGAATTACAAGAATAAGAACAATTGTACCAATGTGTCCTTAAAATTATAAATTAAAACATTATGTAGAAGTGCACTATGTGGTGAGAAAACTAAGGAGTAAATTAAACAGAACCCATGATTTCAAGAGGTTTTCACTGAATTTCTTAGAACTCTCATCTAAAAAATCTGCTTTCTGTGGCTGTTTCCTTTTTTCCCTTCATTGTGAATGCCATCTCTTATAGTTTTTTAATCCTGTTGCCATTATCGATCTCAGTCTCTTCCTGCACTTTGTCATCTATTACTTTAATCGTTCTTTTGGGATTTTAATGGCTAAAAATGATACTAGATTTTTCTGTGCTAGTACTAAGGCTGAAGTCACTGATGATGTGGGATAAGCCATTAGTAGCCAGTTCTCCAACCACTATTTTGAAATAGCACTTCTTTGGGTTTCTTATATGATGTCATTCATATGAGAATATAAAAAAAAGAAAGAAAAGAAAAAAGAGGACACTAATGAACACATCTACAGAACAGAAACACTCACAGACATAGTAAACAATCTTATGGTTACAGGGGAAAAGAGGTGGGATGGGGTAAATTTGGAAGTTTGAGATTTGTAAATGTTAACCACTATATATAAAAAACAGATTCCTTCTGTATAGCACAGGGAACTATATTCTATATCTTGTAATAACCTTTAATGAAAAAGAACATGAAAATGAATATATATATATGCATGACTGGGACGTTGTACTGTACATCAGAAATTGACACATTGTAACTGACTATACTGTTTAAAAAAAGCTGTCTAGAATATAAAGGTTAACATTCCCCAAATCTACAAAAATAATGGAGAAACTATTAAAACACTATTTAATTTCTAGAAAAAGAAAGAAGAGCTGATTTTGGACTAGAATCAGGTATCTTACTAGCTTTATCAGTTCAACTAGCATATTTTGAGTACTCACTATATTCAAGCAACATAAGAATAAAATGACAAAAAGTCCCCCCTCCACCCAAAGTTAGTTTGTTGACAGTAGGTGAAGTTTTGCCTATTCTAAAGTTATCCCTCAGGATATTCAGATTTCTGAAAGCATCGATTAAACTCGTTATTCTCCCAGTACTGTCTTTTTTTTTTTTTTTTTTTTTTGATCTCAGGAAACACCCAACATAGTAGGATTAGTATGGTAGTTAGATACCTAACTAACAAGTGCAAAATGAAACATCCTGCTCACACATAGAACAGCATTTATTCCTTTCCATTCTATGACTAACCTAGTATTATAAATAGTTTTAGTAATTTAAAGAGCCTGTATACCTTTATATTTTGGTCCCCAGATTTCACTATCAGATGGCACACTGATTAGGTGCCACTTGATTCCTCAGTGCTAAAGTGTTTAAATATCCTAACTGACAATGCCATAGATTTAAATGTCAAGGTCTTAAGAGTAAATGTGATTTTTTTTTCAACTGACTACTGCTTATCCTACTTAACACAATGTGGTCTCAAATTTTGGTCACTGAGATATACAATTCATTAATTTGCTTCTAGGCTAGCCATGTAAAAGAGGGAGGAAGCGCTGGTCTCATTCCAAGCCAGTTCCTGGAAGAGAAGAGAAAGGCATTTGTTAGAAGAGACTGGGACAATTCAGGTGATGAGCTTGACACCATAAAGTAACAAGTAGCCCTTTGTGGCCACCTTTCTTTGCCTCTTTCATCTGGATTAGCAGATGGATTTGTTTAAAATATATCTAGAATCCCTCCCATCTACTTTATTGTATATCTCTCTCAAAAGTAAACTTTTTGACCCCATTCTGCCACCTGCTGGTATTGTATCAGAATTCAGTGGCTCAACTCACCCCTGTCCCCTTCTGCCTTGTAGGATGCAACACTGGAAAGATAGTTCTCCCATCACAGGGAAGTATTTATATTCTGACATACTGTTTAAGTTATATTTGTCTTGTCATCCTTCAGGACCTTTTTGTGGAACCATTAGTAGCAAAAAAAAGAAAAAGATGATGTATCTCACAACCAGAAATGCAGGTATGTTTTAAATACTTTTTTGAGAAGTCCAAGTGAAATCCCTTTATATCATTAATCAATGTGGCATACACTCTAAATGTATAATTTTAAATGAATTCATTCAGATTAGTACCCAGATGCAAGGGGCTGGCATGTAAACATTTGGCACAATATAATATAATGACATCATTTAAATCCTGATATGTGTACTTGTACTATCACTAGTGTGCTTTAGTTTGAGTATAGTTTACAGTAAAATGAATGGGTTGGGATTTATGCTTGTATTAATGAAGGAGTAATGTTACAGTTTAAATTGTTCAGAGAACTTCGATAGTTACTTATGTGTCATTTCTAAAGAGCAAAATGCCTTTATAAAGATATTCTAAGGGTTACGATTAGGGGCAACCATATTCTGCCATAACATTGTCCATAATACTTTTTAAAAAACAATACTGGACCGAACAAATCAAACAGTATATTTTACTTTCCCAGATAGGTGACTAGAAAGCTGACCCATAGCTCCCCATCTTACCTTGCTGACTCCCTCTCTGCCCCCATATAAGTCCTCTCTTGTTTTAGTAATTTACAGTGACCATCCCTTTACCTCTGTTGCAGGAAACCTGGAGGAAAAGGAAGGATGTTGCCTTATTTCCTACTCTTTAGGGCATGGATTCCCTCCTTTCCCTTTGTTAGCATCCTGGGTTCCCATGGATTCAGGGATTTGTTGGTTGAGGTTTCTTTGCATATGTTTACATATATATTTAAATACACATTGTATTTAAATATTGTACAGAATAAAAATGTTTTATTGAAAAAAACTAATCTGATCTAATAGGATTCTTTCTTAAATTTTTAGACTTAAAGATAAATATAACACCTATCACAGTTCTTTTCAGTTTTAGAGGCCGATAGGAGTGAAATGCAGCTCTTTGAATCAGAAGGCTCTGGAGGCTTACTCAAAAGAATTGACAATTTTAAAGTACTTTCTTGACTTCAGGGCTACCTCTACATTGGTAATAAACTAAATAGCACACCATAATGGAAATAATGTAACAATATATTATAATAATAATAATATAATAAGGGTAAAATAGACTTTCCCTTAATATTGGTTTTAATCTGCTATGAAGAAATTGTGCAAAGAAAGTGTTGCTGTTAGGATAATAACCTAAGGAAGGAGTGTTATTATTGCAGATTGAGAGTTATAGCCATAATAATAGGTAATATAGTATTTCAAATCCACTTTGGCTTTATTATTCATTAAATATATGTCCTTAAGGCTTTGTTGCAAAATGGCAAATTTGTAATTTTCCCATTGATTATAATTTTGAAATGTGCTTCTACTGAAAATAGTTAGGATCCACCATTTTATACATAAATTTAGAATCTCAATATTTAAAGCTTAGTATGTTGTCTACAAACATTTTATTAATCAAACTAATATTTGCAGAGCGACTACACAATATCTATTCATTTACATCACTGGAAGGGAGTACTTATTCTACGAAGCTTATTTAAGCAGCCACACTCAGTATACTGCTGTCCTCCATATTTGATTTATGCACTTCTTAGTGGAATAGATTACATAAACTGATTTGCAATTTGATTATATTACAGTAGTTATTTCTACTGATGAATTGATTAGAAAGAGATTTTAATGGATAGAATATCTGATAAGGATAAAGCACTGGCATTCTTCTAGCTTTGTTGGACAGATTTCTATGGGTAAGTGGATGGCAGCAGATGTGTAAATCAGAATGTGAAATAATTTATTGTACTTTACCAGATTTATTTTTAAAAATCTGTACTTAGTACAATTCAAGTGATATTTAACTATCAAAACAACTAAACCATTGCTGAACAGAATAGCAGAGGTTTTTCATCTATAGTAAGAGAGAACTGAATATGATGTTTTCCCATTTCCTTACATTTAGAATTTGATCGTCATGAAATCCAGATATATGAGGAGGTAGCCAAAATGCCTCCTTTCCAGAGAAAGACATTAGTATTGATAGGAGCTCAAGGTGTGGGACGAAGAAGCTTGAAAAACAGATTCATAGTGTTGAATCCCACTAGATTTGGAACTACAGTGCCATGTAAGTTTTCTCTTTCCTTTGGTATTTAATTGTCAGGAGATAGTTGGTGGGGCAGGTTATTATTATTTTCATTCCCAAGTAATGTCTGATTATGCCAATGAAAATGAACAAGCAAATGATATTGAAAAACTGAGTGATTCTGCAGCTGTCTTGGAATGGTACTGTAACCCTGTCGGCTTGCTGCCTGGTGGCAGTCACTTCTCCAATCTCTTCAATTCAGAAATTCTCATGAAATGCAAGTATTAAGAGTTGTGGCGAAATCAGTGTTAACTTTATATTTTCTTGTGCAGTTGATGTGTATCTAAAAGTTGTATTTTTCACCCACTTTCACATAAAGAAAAGGAGGAAATCTGCTGGATCCTCTGACACTCCCAATGTCATAGTTAGTTTTTGTGAATTTCAGTGATCTTGCTTGTAGCTCTCAGTCCTGCAGGGTCATACACCTAATTTTTGATGGTACATTAAGAGTGAATCCTCTTCCTGAGCTTGCAGCATTAAATAAGGTCACAAAGATTGATATATAAAATAAAATAATACTGATGGGAAGTATAACCATTGAGTAAACCAAACACGAAAAAGATTTTACGATCTTTGCATTCTTTCACATTTACGTGGAGAATTAAACAGTGATGTCAGAAGCATACTTGATGAGAATGGAATTAAATCAAGGAATTAGATGATACCATTGTTTTATTATAAGGACTAATATGCACTGTCTTTAGTTTGGAGATGTATGAGCCTTTACTTGTGGGAACTTAAATGCTGTCTCCCCTGAATGATGCAGCAGACAGGCCAGTGTTGCCTTTATAAACCTCCTGTCTGTGCTTCCAGTTCTGACCAAGTCTCCTTTCAATTAGCACAATATTTCTTCAGATATTTTAATGCCTGTAAGCTGTTCCATGTCAAATCTTAGCCTAACATCACTCCATCTCTTTTGGATGAATTTTGGAGTTCTTTTATCTGGTGTGCTTTGAAGTTTAGTTCTCAGTAAGGAATCTTCTGCTAAAATTCTTAGGAGTGAATTAGGGGAGTAACCTTGTCATTGTCTGTTTATAGTCCCCTCAGGGTAAGGCTTTGAGTTCCATTGTAGGCACTATAAATTACTAAATTCAGACAAATCCTAGGTAAGTAGTTAAGGAAATAAAAATCTCACTCTGATCAAAGTATTTTAAAGTATTTTATTTTTCATTTTTAAAAATTAATACATGTAGCATATTTTAATCAAGTAGTTCTTAAAGATATATAATGGAAAGTAACTCTGTCCTCTACCCCATCTCAGGCCTACTTGCCAGAAACACTTTTTCTTTTTTTTCTTTTTTCTTTTTTTTTTTTTGTGCTACTTCTTTTCTTAGTCTTCTATTATTTCTTAATTATGTCTTCATTCTGCTCTTTATTGCTTTATCCATTGTAGGCCTTACCTACTGACATCCTGACTATCCTCTCAATATAAAGATAGCTCTAGTTTCAGTGAATTTGTTTTCACTGTCTTGAACAGCCTCTCCCTCTCCCCCAAACCAAGAATTTCCTAGAGTTATTTTTTTTCTTCCTCTCTTTACCTTAATTTTATGTGTTTGTATGTATAGTCTTGTATTAAATCAAAGACTCACTGATTTAGTAAATCATGCTTTTTTCTTGGAGACCTCTGTCTCAAAACCCTCAGCTTTCCTACTTCAGCGAGGACTACACACTCACCACTCTGGCTGCCCCACTGTTAGCATAGGAATGTTTCCCTTTGTTGCTGTCCTGAATTGAAGCTATTGTTCCTGGGTCCCATCCTTTTTATTTATTTCTTGGTTTATTGCCTTGTTTTGCTAGAGCACATCCCTTGTAACTTCACAAGAAATGGTATATGGGATGTAATTTCTGCATCACTGTATTTGCAGTTCTATTTTCTGCACTCTATTTGATTGGTTATTTGCCTGAGAATAGAAAGTCTAGACTGTAAAACTGTAAAGATGTTTCTGTTAAATCCAGTTCTGTTACAAAGTCTAGTGCCATTCTGATTCTTGTTCTTTCATACATGACCTGCTTTTTTCCTTCAGTCTTTTATTTTGTCGTTTTTCAGTATTTTATAATTTGATGATGATGCGCCTTTGTGTGCATCTTTTTTATTCATTGTGCTGATGATTAGTGAGCACTTCAGACTAGAGAGATTCTTGTCCTTCAGTTTTAGGGAATTATTTCTTGGATGATTTCTCCTTGTTTTCACTGTTCACTTTTTCTAGAATTTCTATTAGCTGGATGTTGAACATCTTGGATTCATCTCCTCAATCTCTTTGTTGTTGTTGTTGTTGTTGTTGTTGTTGTTGTTGTTGTTGTTGTAGTATTATCTATCCCTTTATCTTTTTATTCTGCTCTTTAAAAGATTACCTGGAGTTCTTTATCTTCTAGCCTAGCAATGGCTTTTCATAAGTTACGGTTTTCATTTTAGGATTACCTTCTGTTTGCTGTTTGTTTTTTTTCCTACAGCATCATCTTTTGTGGGAGCTATCTCTTCTGTATCTCTAAGAATATTAAATAGTGTAATTCTTCTTTGTTTTTTCTGTAGGATGATAAAAAGATTCTCGAGATGAATAGTGGTGATGGTACACAACAGTGTGAATGTACTTAATGACACTGAATTATGCACCTAATACTGGTTAAAATGATAAATTTTATGTATGTATTTTATCATGATAAAAAACACTAAAAAATTTAATCTTAATAGCTTCTTAATATTCCAGCACATAAATACATCCATGCTTTATTTAACCCGTACTGTTACTGCCCATTATATGGTTTGGGTGGCTTTTTTGTTACAAGTAAAAAGATGATAAAATGTATATACATAAATCTCAGATGTAAAATTATTAGACCAAAGGATATGGAGAGAGATATATTTATATATTTATATGAGTATAAATATTTATTTCAATTTCTTGATTTCTTTTTTTTAACTTTTAAAATTTATTATTATTTCTTTTTTTAACATTTTTTATTGATTTATAATCATTTTACAATGTTGTGTCAAATTCCAGTGTTCAACACAATTTTTCAGTCATTCATGGACATATACACGCTCATTGTCACAGTTTTTTCTCTGTGATTTATCATAACATTTTGTGTATATTTCCCTGTGCTATACAGTGTAATCTTGTTTATCTATTCTACAATTTTGAAATCCCAGTCTATCCCTTCCCACCCTCTACCCCGCCCCCCCGCCCCCCTCCCCCGCCAGTAACCACAAGTCTGTATTCTCTGTCCATGAGTCTATTTCTGTCCTGTGTTTATGCTTTGTTTTTGTTTGTTTGTTTTTGTTTTTTAGATTCCACATATGAGC